TTCCATAAACAAAAACAGAATGAGTTAATTAACGGCAATCATTAGCAATTTTAGTGTTATTTCGGTACAAATCGTAATTAATTATTCACTGTAATGTGCCTTTTAAAAATACAGTTCGCGTAAAATGTCCGGAACCATGGCCCATTTACTTGAAGATCTTTCAATGTCTAAGCGGACGAAGTCAAGGAATCACTGGAGACGAAGGCGATGTAGAAACTTAAACAACGGAAAAACGAGAGAATACAGGTAGACGCCTAAAGATGATATCGAAGAAATTGAAGAATCCAAACAAGTCGAAGAACTGGTTAAAGCAGAGAACGTTAACGAATTTGAATAAGAGAGACCTGGGAATCTGAAAAAGCAGAAGAAACCGAAGGGGCATGGAAAAACGAGGTAATCGAGGAAGTCTGAGAATCAAAAGGTCTGAGCCTAGTAAACGAGGAAGGCAATGAAGCGATTCAAAACAAAAAAAAGTCGAGGAAACTGTCGGATCCCTCCCTTTCCATCCTTAACTATTCATCTTCCGCAATTCATCTTTCCTCAAAATTCTCACTTTTGACTTGGTGGTGATGGACTTGTTTAGATTTCTCGGTTACTTTTTAATCAACCCTATGGAATAACCCCCCAGTATACGAAAATTCGATTACCCAGTAAAGGATGACTACTACCCCTAGAACATTCATAGTAACCTTTGCGAAAAGGTAACTGAATTTTGATTCACTGGGGGGGGGGGGGGGGATTCCATACCTTTTTATTTTATATTACTTATAGAACAGTCCTCTACTGGGTAATCGAATCTTCGTATACTTCATAAACCCCCCTTCCCCCTCACGATACTACGTTATTCCGCAACAAGGTGAAGTGTATGGAATACCTCTCAGTAAATCGAAGATTCGGTTACCTTCTCTTTTAGGTTACCATGGAGGTGCTAGGGGTAGTAGAGCAATAATTATTCTTTACCATCAGTGTTAGAGGTAAGGGAATTAAAAAAACACCCTTTACTGGGTAATCGAATCTGCGTATACTGGCAATTTGGCCCGTAAAATCCATAATTTCAAACAGTTTGAAGATTGGGCTACTAGATCAAAAGTTACAGCACTTTGAATTTTCTTTCGAAATTGGTTTCTAGTCTATAACTTCTGATTGAGAAGTGTGATCGAAAAAGTACGAATTGTTTTTGATTCTACGCAAAAAAATTAATAAGAAAAAGTGTTTTCCCGGGAAATTTTGGTGCAGTCGATCTTTGGTAAAAAAGGAAGGTTGTACACTGCCTTTTTTTGAGGCCCGCAAAAAAAATTGTCTCAGATCGAACCGGAAAAAAGTTTCTTATAGAAAGTGGCCTGCAGAATCCATAACTTCAAACAGTTCCAAGATTGGGCTACTGGTTCAAAAGTTACAGCCCTTTGAATTTTCTTTCGAAATTGGTTTCTAGTCTATAACCTTTGATTGAGAAGTCCGATCGAAAAAGTACGAATTGTTTTGGATTCTACGCACCAAAATTAATAAGAAAAAGTGTTTTCCCGAGAAATTTTGGAGTAGTCGATTTTTGGTAAAAGAAGGAAGGTTAAGTATTCAAATACTATGCGAAGTATTCGAATACTTCTCAAAGTATTCAAATACCTTGCGAAGTATTCGAATACTAAATATTTGTGAAAGTATTTGAGTTACAAATACAAATACTGCTTCCATAAAAGTATTTAATTACAAAGTATTTCAATACTTTAAAGGATTTGAATACTAAAAAGTATTTACAAAATCGAATACTGCCCAGCTCTGTCAGGAAAGAAGGGTGTCTGTTCGCATAAATTCTCAATAATAATAATAATAATAATAGCAGGAGTCCAGAACAGGTCCTTTGGAATCCCAAAGTAACCGAAAATATCAAGGGAGCCCCGTAGTTTAAGGTCAGGGAGATCCTAAAAGCCGAGGAACTCGACGATGCCAATTAAGTAAAGAAAGATGATGGAGCCAAAAGAACCAAAATATTCTGCAGGGATCCGACAGTTTCCTCGACTTTTTTTTTTGTTTTGAATCGCCTCATTGCCTTCCTCGTTTACTAGGCTCAGACCTTTGGATTCCAAGACTTCCTCGATTATCTCGTTTTTCCTTGCCCCTTTTGTTTCTTCTGCTGTTTCGGATTCCCAGGTCTCTCTTATTCAAATTCGTTGACAGATCTTCAAGGAAAATGGGTCATGGTTCCGGACATTTTACGCGAACTGTATTTTTGAAAGGCACATTACAGTGAATAATTAATTACGATTTGTACCGAAATAACACTAAAATTGCTAATGATTGCCGTTAATTAACTCATTCTGTTTTTGTTTTATGGAAATACCTCCAGTATACATATACTTCTTGATTTACGGACAACGATGATGGAGGAAAATACCTTAATTGCTCACTCTATGAAAGCTAAATTGCACTTTTTCATCGTTTTTATTAATTAAACATAATCAAAGTGCAAAAGGTAAGTTTTTAAATGAGCTTATATGCAAGTCAATGATTCCGTCGTCTGTATATAAGCAAAGGATTGGAATAGAGTGAGCATTGTGAAGCTTTTCCAATACTAAGCAAGTAAGTACTTTTTCTTTCGTAATCTAACCATTTCTGATCTTGCAACTGCTCCAGACATGAAATACATCTTCGTTGTCTTGATCGCCTTCGCGCTCTTCTACAATGCGATAGCTCAAGAAGCCTGCGATCCCGCGGGTCAAGAGCCCGGATGCGAGTGCACTCAAGGTGAAGCATTCTGGACCCAAACCGACGAGGGTTGTGTGTTTAGGTGCAAGGATGGGGATAATCTCAACGAATGTGAGGCCACGGAGTAGGTACAAAGACAAGTTTTTCGAGGTGTGCCACTGGTACACACTGTATTTTAGTGATTTGGTGTGAAGTCTGTTTAGAATAAAGGTTACCTTGCATTAATTTCTTGTTTTTGGACTAATGCCCGATTATCCTTTACAATTTTTACAACATAGCGTCTTGGGTTTAAATTGTGCCGGACTGTGGTACGAAAATCGCTAAGCTATCTAACTGTTCCTCAACCTGCTGATGCCGAGATTAAAGTTACATGGGCATTACTACAAGACAAACAAGATCATCTTCGTCGTCTGAACATAGAACATGGATTTAAGTCAATATTGAAATGACTGAAACCAAAGGATGTGGTCCAATAGAACTCTTGATTGGTTGCAACTGCAATTAGGATGGATTCTGTGTAACCAACATCGACTCGCAACACTACGATGATGGTGACATCAAAAAGTTATGGGAATTAGATGTTCTTGGCATAACAGACCCAAGAAGAATACATTTTAGCTGCAGAAGAATTCTTCGAGGAACCTGTGCCCTCGAAGTTACCGTGGTTAGCTGATCTTTCAGAGCTATGTAGCAATTACAACGTGGTAAAAAGAAACGACAATGAAGAAACTGACTAATGAAAAACTCGTTGAGACACGGTATTTAGACAATGGCTAGATCGGAAGATAATAGAGGACGTATCGAAAGAGCAATTTGGCAAGTTGCACATCTCGCGATCCGTCCTCGGTTAACCTCATTCTCATCACACTGCTCCGAAGAAATTTGCCATTTTTCTGGAGACTCGTACAACCAATTCGGTCCCTCCCACCAGCGAGATTCAATTAAATTGGAGGGTAGCACACCTAGAAATGGTAAATCAGCTGGCTTTTCCGAACCTGTCACATGATTGCATTCCGTAGGCGATGATAGAGAACAAATCTCTCGTCGTTTGATCCACGGCAGAACCATAGTGGAGTCATTCCAAAAATGATTTGGACAACCGAGATCGTAGGTGCCAGGAGTTCTAGTCTGGGTATCGTTGCTTTCTTCAAAAGAGCATTTCGACTTTTTGCAGCTAATAATCGAACGAAATCTTCTCCTCTTAAAAACACCACAGCTGCGTATGCGTTCTGGCTTCCATCACTGAAGACATGCAGACTCAACTCGTTGGAATCACGGAGAGAAAAATGTATCCAACAAGGAACCTTAATTTGCGCCAGAAGAACTTCTTCCAACCACCGTTGAAAATTCGAAAATATCTCTTATATTACTTGCTCATTCACTACTTTTTGTTCTCACTTCTTCCTCAGCAGTAACTTGGGCATGAAAAATGTACCTATGTGTAGCTGTCCGCTGGTCCGTTCAAACAAACTTTTAGGGTCTGGACAAATACATGAGCCTTGGTACTGTTGATGTGGGTATGGGTTTCCGTCAGAGTTTCCTCAATCTTATTTTGATGAATTGGCAACGTCAAACACATGAGAACGACATGTGGCTTACCACAGACTCACTCACTTAACAGAATTCTTACAATTTCTTGCTGCATGTCCTACTGTCAGGCACTTGAAGCAACCTTTTTTGCTGATCACGATCTTGTTCTTTTTCTCCAGCGAGCTTTTAAACAATTTGAGCCTTCGAGCGATTTCTCACAGAAAATGCAATTGCTCACATCACAATTCACTAACCCCACCGCAGTTGGGATTTTCTCTACAGTCCCTTTATCAGACACATGCTTCTTCTTCTCCTTTGCTGCTTGAAAACCTAATCGTTCAACTAGAAGTATTTATAAGCACCTCCTCATCCTTCTCTTCTCGGAATATTCTTCATCATAAATTACAGGGATCTTCGTAGCAGCCGAGGACATCTTTCCGAAAACGTTTTTCGAAATGCTATTAGTAGTATCTGTATCCTTTTGAGACGCCTCATAAATATCAATTACGTTAGATTTAACTTTTAATTAGTAAAAAAGGGTCTCCGAAAAAGTTCTGGCACAAGGCATTCATAAGTATTTCGGTCGTCAATTGTCTACCTGAGAACCGACCAACGGAGCTGAAGGTGAATATTAAAAAAAGTTGATGTATCCGAAGACAAAACACAAAAAGGCACGTGACGTCCAGTAAACTAGGACTGGGCGATTTTTCAAACAAGTCAACTATTTCCGTAATTTCGGAAATAAAGGAAGGGCCAAAAAAACGAAATAATTCAGGTTACCTTCTATTCTAGACATAATTGTTAGTAAACAAAACAAGTGCGTTTGTTTTTGTATTTAAACTGGCGCTGCTGCTGGTGCTGCTGCTATTTCTGCGCAAGTAAAGAGGGTCTCCTCACTCATGCACATGAACTGGCAGGATTCGGGCGTTCCACTCCAAAAAGCCTCACCTACTCCAGTGCAATCGCATCCAGGCTCTTGGTCACCGGGATCGCAAGGATCTTGCGTAATCGCAAAGTGGTAGAGTGCAAAGGCGATGAGGACAACGAAGATGTATTTCATTTCTGAAATAGATTGTAATTGATTTCAATGGACCTTTTTTAATGCACATTCTAATAGTGTAAAGATACTTACTTGCTGTTTGGTGTTGGATGAACTACACGATGCATTCAAATTCTAAGCTTATATACACAGCTTGCAAAGTCAAAAAAACTCTGATTCATTTTAAAAACTTTCCCTATTTTGCAAAACCTGCGATTCATTATAATTGCAATTACTGCTTAATTATCGAAAAATAAGATACATATTTATGCTTTGCCTTTGACTCATAGCAAATTTGGCAATTACGATTTTTTTCCTTCCCCATTAAGTTATAATCCAAAAAGATTAGATGCCCTTTGCACTTGTTAAAAAACCACTTTAGAAGCATGGGCACCAATTTTTTATTAATTAGCAATTTTAATTTTTGCAAAATACGCCAGTCATGAATAAAACTGCAATAAATGTTAATTAAACTATTAAATAATGACGCCCTAAGCTAAAGAATGGTTTATGTTAATCTGTGAAGCATCGTAACGACTAGCGCCAATAGGGCTTATATTTGGATTGTGATTATTTAAGGGTTGACACGTCATGTATATTTAAAACAAATGGTCATAGTATGTACAAATATTTTTGCATATTTTTATCACTTTAAAAGCCTTCAAAAAGTCTTTAACAAACCTCAAGGACGTTCAAAAGCGTTTGGAGTTGCTTAAAAGTCTTTAATAATCTTTTAGATTAATGAAACCATAGAGCACGCAAAAGTAATAGTTTACTTTTTCGAGGAAACTTAATAACATGCCTATTTTAATGCCAAGGAAGCCGAATGCCGAGTAGTGGGTTGACTTACCCTATCAGACCCTTACTCTGCCTAGGATTAAAAATATTGTATAGTGCTTAATGGTCTTAAAAAATATAGTTACGTTTTATTTTATTATTATGATTATTATTGAGAATTTATGCGAACAGAATTCGATTTTGTAAATACTTTTTAGTATTCAAATCCTTTAAAGTATTAAAATACTTTGTAATTAAATACTTTTATGTAAGCAGTATTTGTATTTGTAACTCAAATACTTTCACAAATATTTAGTATTCGAATACTTCGCAAGGTATTTGAATACTTTGAGATGTATTCGAATACTTCGCATAGTTTCCCGGGAAAACACTTTTTCTTATTAATTTTGGTGCGTAGAATCAAAAACAATTCGTACTTTTTCGATCAGACTTCTCAATCAAAAGTTATAGACTAGAAACCAATTTCGAAAGAAAATTCAAAGGCCTGTAACTTTTGAAATAGTAGCCCAATCTTGGAACTGTTTGAAATTATGGATTCTACAGGCCACATTCTATAAGAAAATTTTTTTTCCGGGTCGATCTGAGACAATTTTTTTTGCGGGCCTCAAAAAATGGCAGTGTATAACCTTCCTTTTTTACCAAAAATCGACTACACCAAAATTTCTCGGGAACACACTTTTTCTTATTAATTTTGGTGCGTAGAATCCAAAACAATTCGTACTTTTTCGATCAGACTTCTCAATCAAAAGTTATAGACTAGAAAACAATTTCGAAAGAAAATTCAAAGGGCTGTAACTTTTGAACTAGTAGCCCAATCTTGGAACTGTTTGAAATTATGGATTCTACCGGCCACATTCTATAAGAAAAAATTTTTTCCGGGTCGATCTGAGACAATTTTTTTTGCGGGCCTCAAAAAAAGGCAGTGTATAACCTTCCTTTTTTACCAAAAATCGACTACACCAAAATTTCCCGGGAAAACACTTTTTCTTATTAATTTTGGTGCGTAGAATCAAAATTTGCGTGCTTCAAAAAAAGGCAGTGTACTTTTTTTCCCTTGCCGATTTTTCGATTTGTGCTCTTATTTAAATTCTTGAGCCATGTAAGTATTTCCTTTTTAACCTGTTTAATAAGATGTAAGTTAGTATTGTAGTAGATTTGCTAATTACCTTAGTTCTTTGTTTTTGCCACTAGAGGCCATCCGACTAGTATAGCTTTCTTATTACAATAGTTGTTTGCTTTGCCACTAGAGGTCGTTGCTATCCCGTGTTTAATTCGGTATTGGGTGCAGTTGTATTTTTTTCTTCCTACTGCCATTATATTTATTACATGCAAATTAGTGAAATTATTAAAATTAGTAAACATCAGTACCTACTCAGTATATTTGTCATCTCGTTTGTTATGATCGAGTTTGAAACGCGTATGTTGTATCCCTTATGAAGAGGTTAACCATTTAAGTACCGTACCTGAAATATGAGCGATTACGAGTAGAGCGAGGCCCTTCTGGCATTATTCAACTAAGGTTTTTTTTTTTTTGTTGATTTTAGGTTTAGAATGAGAGAACTTTATGCAACTATATGCGGATTTTGGCCGGAAATATCAATTTATTTGTGGATTCATCGATCATTCTTGATTGGGGGTTTGTTAAATTGTGGAATTTCAATTGCACATTGAGGTTACTAGGAGTTGTGAGTAACATAACATAATTTTGAATATTTGTGTGTTTATGGATCGCAAACAGTCACCAAGAGCCTTAGACTCCGTAAAAAGCTTTTAAGATTTTAAGAGACCTTTTAGAGGTTAGCTTTCTGCAATTAATATTCGAATTTTGTAGAGCCTTTAAGACACTGAGCCATCTTTGAAAAGCATTAAGAAGCTTGAAATGTCCCAAACAATTTCCAAAATCCTCCCAGATTCTATACAGGTCTTCTGAAAACTTTTAGAGTTGTTGAACACTTTTAATAGTCCTTATCTTGTGATTTTTTCTTTTTCAAAAGCTCTTAGAAGTTCTTAACGCACCCTGGGATTTTTTAGAGACTGCAAGAGTCTTTGAGTTATAGATTTTAAAGCCTTTAAAATCTTCACAGATCTTTGAGAACTAAGTTTTAACGAAGAAGAGTGAGGGGAATCAAGACCTGGATTCACAATCGAACTCGAAGAGAGAGCGGTTGCGCTCCGTTTCGGGGGTATCTACTTTGGGAACACCCGGTATTATCTACGTACCAAATGAAGTGTAATAGCTGATAAAGATTCACTTTCGGTTGTTTTCCGATCTCCATGCTCCCTACATTCCACTTAAAGACACACGTCGGAGTACTTAATTGGACCAAACTTCTAATATTTTGATGTTGTTTACTAACTTTAGTCGACCTTCCGCATTAGGATCGTTAAAAATCCGATCGCCATCGGCTATGATCTAAACTATTTGTTTTAGAATATCATGAGCCGAAGGTCGCTTACGTAAGATTTGTATCAAAACACTGTGATTACCAAACCGATTCATAGTTCAGTGTATACAGTGAATCAGTGAGCAACCGATGCCAAATTTTGACTTATCTCATACTCTGATTTGCAGATAATGAAGTACCTCATCCTACTTTTGGCGATAGTGACTTTCTGTCACGTAGTGAGTGCACGTCATGTGTGCGACTCTAGGCCGCACGAATGCGACTGTAGGGGAAAAGGAAGACCCTTCTGGACTGGAACGGCGGAATCCTGTAGATTCTCCTGTCGACAGGGAGACATACTTTTCACCTGCCGTCAAATTGCGCAGTTGTACTCGTATTATTAAGTATAATTACACTACTTTTTCTAAGTTTATAAAATAAAGATCGAAATATAAATTGGCTGTGCGCTGAAAAAGCTTCTGACGTGTGGGACAGGGAAAGTTTAAAGGTGAAATATGTAAGTACTTAGGGAACTTTACAGCTGCGAACAGAAAAGTTCCTTGTCTTTTAACACATTCGAGTTGAAAAAAAGTTCCACGCCTTTCAACAATTTCAAAAGCTCTTTGTATAATTCGTTGAAAGCAATGATGCGTAGTTTTTTTAACAAGATTACTCTTAATTTTTTATCATACCTGAATCACAATCTCCGTTTAAAACACTCAAATGCGTGTGAAAAAAGGCCCTTAAAACACACGTGCTTTAAGGTTCTTTGGCTTGTACCTATCCTTTGGTTGAAGCTTTCACAAACGCGCGTAATTTAAGGTATGCTTCCAAATCTGTTTCACTTTTTAATCGCAGGATTGTTTGAAGTTTTGAATGAATGCACCAAAAAAAACCTTTGACATTTCCTTCATATATGCCAGCATTATCGATGCATTTAAGACTTTATTCGTAAGTAACTTCCTATTCATCCATGGAAACAACTTTTCATATTCTTTATATGACGCGTGTAAACATTACTTTTAATGTACTAGCACAATGAATATATTAATATTATTATGGTCGGTGTTTCTTGCGAGAACTCAGGTCTAGCCTGGATAACTAATCGCAGGGATTAACGATTAGTGTCTGTGTATGTGTCTGGTGAAGTTACAGCCCTTTGAATTTTCTTTCGAAATTGGTTTCTAGTCTATAACTTTTGATTGAGAAGTCTGATCGAAAAAGTACGAATTGTTTTGGATTCTACGCACCAAAATTATTAAGAAAAAGTGTTTTCCCGAGAAATTTTGGTGCAGTCGATTTTTGGTAAAAAAGGAAGGTTATACACTGCCTTTTTTTGAGACCCGAAAAAAAAATTGTCTCAGATCGACCCGGAAAAAAAATGTTCTTATAGAATGTGGCCTGTAGAATCCATAATTTCAAACAGTTCCAAGATTGGGCTATTAGTCCAGTCAAAATAGGAAAATCAGAGGAACTAAAAATACTAGTTCCAATTTTTTCAGAAATGTGTAGGGAGAGGTTCCCTGAACAAGAAAAAATAAAGTCCCTCCAAATTCCGGTGCCGCTAGGGGAAGGAGGGGGCTTTAAACGACCCATTTTTCAGTTTTTCACTTTTAACTCGAAAATGGTGCGTTACAGTGAAAAAGTTCTTCAGTACAAAATGAAAGCTTATTAAAATTGCTTTGGTTATATACATCTTTACGAAAAACTGAACCGTTTTCGTGCTACCGGCTCCGGAAAGGTGGTAATTTCTAAACAAAATTGTTTTTCACTCACGTTTTTCGTATTTTTTTGGCTTCTAAATCTTCCCCCGGTCATTTTAAGGGAAAATCGTCACAATAAAACCTGTACAGCATTAACATCCCTCTAGTCCGAACCTGCTGAAGTACGAATTATCTCCATACCCCATGACTATTCCACGAAGGATGCTTCAGGAAATCTGCTCTCTATGCCGCTCTCCCTGTGTGCATGGATGCAGGTGCACCTCAAAACGATTTACACTGTAGTGGGCGGTGGCTTTCTCCTTCACAGAGTCAAGTGGAATG